AAAACAAAATATCAGCGAGTATAAACGTAAGTGTATGAAAGTGTAAATATTTATATGAAAGAGGCCATAACAACAACAGTAAGCCATACCGAAATGCAAAAACAAGAAAAAATAAAACATTAGCGTGCGCAACCATTTAGCTATGACATAACAGCTAAAGCGGTTTTGAGCACAGCCAACAGCTCAGCCATTCACCCAGCCAGCCAACCATCCATCCGCTCTCGGCAGTCATGCCAGCGCGCATGCGCAACAAAAACAGCCTCTGGAGTCTATGAACGCACACCGTAAACAATTTTCTTTGTATTTTCGTTTTTTGTTTTGCTTTTCAATTCCGTTTAGCCACCTATTTTCCTGCTTTTTCTTTTTCTGAGAAAGTGATGCGCTCTTTCACGCTCACTTTCATGTCCGCGTCTGGCAGCTTTACACCGAAACTCGATTACTTCATTGATACTGTCATTAGCAATTCACCGCCAATAATGGCTAAGTAATAAGGTTAATAGTGTTTTTTATTCTTTATTTGTCTGCTGATTTTCATAGATTGCTGCATGCGATGGAGGTCATCAAATGCTTCGTATAATCCATTAACATACAATTGTAAATAGGGATTGTGTAATATGGTATACCCATACACACTTATACTTATAGTTTTAATATTTATTGTACACTCACAATTGAAATTTTTTGCGTGTAAGTTGTTTAACAACGACTTTTGCTTCAAGGTGCATTTTCGCAAATATTTAAAATATTTACTTACTACTTTCCAACACTACAGTGGCTAAATAAGTTAGAGTGGTGTCTGTCACTATATTATAAACAGTTAATTACACATTTCTTCTAAAAATATATATAATGTTTGCTTAGATTGTAATCTTTTATTAGAAACACATTTTTATAGAGAGTAAAAGTAATTTCGAGTATGATTTTGGTGGGGGTTGGTTTCTCTCCTACTCACTCTAAAAGCAAACTAAATTTTGTAGAGTTTCAAAAAAGTGTGGCATCCGCTGTAGTGTAGTACTTAGATATCAATATGATGATTACATTGCAAAACTGTTCGGAAAGAGGTTTCTATAGACATAACAATGATTTCGAAGATTATTTTGGTGCTGGCAAGTTGACTCGGAGTGATTTAAAAAGCAATTTTTTCGGATTTTGTTAGGGATTAAATATAGCCATTGAAATGCAGTAATTAGATCCCTGTTTCAAACAACATCGAAATATTTTTCTTACAACATAGCTGTCGTCTTCCAACAGACATAACCAAGTTTTCAACCGGCACAATCCATAAAATAAAGCAGAAAATCTACGATAAATCTAGCAGCTATAAGCGTCATCTAGTGTTGTTTCCGGAATCTACCAAATAAAATTTTTTTTAACATCTAGAGGCTCAGTTTTAAAGTAAATTTTCGAGGTAAAATCTTTATTTCGTAAAAAAAAATTTGATAACTGTTCTAGAAGCTGTAGGGAGTCCTCTTTCTGGCCAATTAAAAGTTATAAACTAAAAAAATGTTTTGTGGTCATTATTGAAGTTTTAAAAAAAATCTTTAACGACAACATGCTTTCCTTAAGCGTTAAAATAAATTTTGAGTCAAAAACCGTCACATTCGGTAATTTTTAAATAAATGTAAAGAGTTTAAACCAAAAATAAAATTTTCTTGTCCAAAAAAAATTTTTACTCGAAATTTACTTTAAAACTGAGGGCGCCGCCTCTCGATGTTAAAAAATATTGTTTTTTTGTCAAAAAATTTTATTTTTTTATAATCTACAGATTTTATCCCCAGACTAAGCAAAAAACAAAAAAAAAATTGTTCGCTCCACCCTAATGCATTATGAGGAAGTTTACTCATTCTTACTTTTTTATACTTATTTGACTTTTTTGACAATTTATTCACTTTAAACCAGTCCAATTAGAAAAAATATCAAAACGTCTGCTTTAGTAGGTTAACGAATTGGCTTAAACAACTTTTGAGTTCTCTTCATTTATGTTATAAACTCATCTAAGTTATTATAGAAATAGATTCCGCAAAAGCATACCTGCTACACAAGCAATATAATCTAAATTAATATAAAACGTACAAAACTGGTGTTTCAGATTTGAATATATTAAATAACTATAAGTTAACTAGTTTTTGTGCATTATATAAGTTGCAGTAAGCAAGTGGCCCCAGAAATGAGTCTAGACATAATTTATTGATTCAGCTTTTAAGCGGAAGGCTTTTAAAAAAATGCAAAGGCACAACAAAAACTTATGCGACTAATGATAGGGGCGCAAGACGAAAAAAATATATGCATACTAATTATTTTATGCATGCACCTAAAACTGGCGGTGGTCCGAAACACACAAACTATCGACGAAACACTACAAGCGAATGCGGTGTTCTCAACTCTCAAAACTTTTTCTCCCTAAAACACCAAAAAACCCGATAAATTCCCCCCTTTTTTTTAAATAAAAAAAAAATTAGATTTACAAAAGGTTCATTCGATTCGATGGAAAAAATATTTTTAAAAGATATCAACAAATATTATTGAATTAATAATAAATTTAAAATTATAAATAAACAAAAAAATAATAATTTAGTAACAATTTTTACAATTCCATATTTACTGAATCTGCTCTGCTAAACAACAAAGAAAATTCTTACATCTTTCTTTAACATCCGATAAGTCTCTGGAGGCAAGTTTATGTGCCATATCGTGAAAATCAAATTCGAAGTATATTGACTTTTGTATAACAAAAATAGATCTTCAAATAGTCTAGTAGAAAATATTGGCAAATAATAGAAATATGTCAAATGCCAAAGCGTAAAAAGATTAGAGTTGCCAACAATTTGCTTCGCTTTGTTTTACTACGCCTCGACATATACGTAATCTGTAACCTATTTTTCAAATTTTTCAGCTAAAAACATTAATATTCAAAGTAAAGAAAACCCCTAAAAATACCTCTAAAAATATAAAACCCCTAAAAATTCCATTCGACTCTTTAAACCCCTAAATTGGTAAAACTAAACAAATGCAAATGCGAGCATGACTGCAGGGACATGGTTTGCAAAAATCAGCAATTTGTATTACCTAATGTAGTTGGAAAATGTATTTGCTTCTTCTGTACATTAGTAAATTCCACATACAATTAATAACGTTTTCCTAACGTTTTTTCCGTTGAACTTGACACAAAGTTGTCTGGCGCATGCGCAAACGCCATAACCACAGATACTTGTTTCGAACTTTATATTATGCAAATACAAATTGTATTCATAGTACGTACGTGTGAATACGTGTTTGTTGACAAAGTAATTTGCATAATTTTGTCAAAGCAATATCCAATAGTCATAGGTTCATATATGTATACCATATAGTATGTATAGTTGTGTGTATTCGAGCAAACATAAGCAATAGATGCACAGACCTCTATAATAAAAGTTGTACTATACATACCCACATAACCACTTCTCAATATATACCAATATGTTGTGCATATATTGCGGCTCAGTGTTGACCTTCCCAGACGCAAAAGTTAATGCTCTGTGGCATAACGGCATATTTTAAGAGCATTTTGAATGGTACTTGCTCTACCTTATGAATATTTCTGATAAAATCTTTTCATAAATTTCAAAAATTCGTTTCAAAATGTAAAACAAAAAAACCGGTAGTGAATATCAGGTTTGCTATACTGAGTATACTGGAATCTGTTTATAAACTCTAATAAATGTTCAGGTCTTCTTCATTTACAATACTTCAAAAAGAGCTTTATTGTTTTTCTAAAAAAACACTGCCAGGTGATCTAGTTCAAGGTCGACATCTGGCTAAATTAGTGAAGAAATTAGTAAATTTTCCGAATTCAATGAAATATTTGTTTTTTATCTATAAATGAATGTATAAGAAACTCTGCAAAAATGCACAACAAATGCATAAAAAAGAAATAAAGCTTTTTTATAAGACTTGCCTACCAAAGTTTGTGCAAGTAGTTACTAACAATCTTGTTGTTATGAAATCTGTGACTCTTTTACACCGAACTATCATTTAGCTGTGAAAATTGTGCATGAACTTCTGGTAGTCAACCTTTGTCTCTAATGGCTGCCTATTCTTTCTCCAATACATTGAGTGGTCACTGAGCTTAACATAATTTAAAGCTCTTCGCAAACAACTCTAAAACGTTCGTTCGTTTATTAAACTATGAATTTGATAAATATACACCATGGCCTTAAGGGCAACCAAGAAACTCTACTTTCAACTATGTCCTCATTGATGTTCGGGTACCTTCTAAAAATAATCATGTTAGACAATAAAAACAAATATTATTCAAAATTCGCCACAGTTATGTTCCTGTCGCAATTGAGATATTTCTGACCGAAGCCCGAGAATCCATTTATTGTATAAAAAAGAGGCTGTAGGCTATGTTCTTGACTTCCCTGTTGGTAGTGCATCAAATTTATACTCCCGTTATTTGCTGCTGAATTTTGATCTTTATTTTCTAACTGCGAACTAAAAGATTCTAAAAAAATATCTGTAACTCTCCCATCGATCTGTCACTTAGCTCGATCAAGTTTTGAGAGGAATAATTATTGTGAAAATTTCGACATTTGAATTCCACGTCTAACTTTCCGATATACCTTCAAAGAAACAATCGAACATAACAATTCTAAACGTTGACTATTTAGAAAAATATTTGTATGTTGTTATACATTCTATTAGAAGTGTTTTATTAGTTAGCATAGGTAATTCAAGACATGTCATGCTTTACATAATTTAACAAAGACTAACATGTTATCTTCACTTTATGAATATACAATTTTAACAAAGTCATACAATTATTTCAATCTACATAAAATCAAGTATAATAAAAATTTTCAGTAATGAAAATAAACTGAAACATATTTCTCAACCAATGCCAACAAATATTATATTAATTATTTATTTCACATGGATTTTATAATGAACCATATATATTTATATTAAAATAACGCAACAGTAATAAAAAGTTTAATTTCTTATATTTACCTTTTCAGAGTTTATTTTAGTCAACTCAAACGCTTCATAGTGCTCCTAGAGTAGCCCTGAATATACTGATTAACCGCTTGCAGTCAACCATCACCACCAAATAGTGCTTCAACCACACACACACACACACACATTATGAGGCAACAACATTTATTTGCAATCGCCGCCTGCCTGTGCAGCGCCGCCATAGTGCTCGTGTCCGCTGTGCCGCTGCCTGCCGGCAACCAGGAATTAGATGTGTTACAGATTCCGCTTTCAGATGGCAAGGTAAGTCTATTGTCAGATTGAATAAATGCAAGCAAATCGGTTACATCAGCGCCGCAGTAGTCATTACTAACTGAACCAGCAAATATTTATGCATGTGTTAGTGGGCACGTACGAAGGCAGCAACCGCAGTTGTTTAAGTTGAGTGAGTTGAACTTACTGCAGTGCTGCTTGAATTGTGCAAAGTGTGAATTTTGTTTACAACCCATTTCCTACGCTATACAAGTACGTTGTTGTTGTACGTTAATTGCTTAAAATGATACTAAATGTCAACAAGCACCGAAAGTACACGAATTTGCATGTTTGGTTAGTTTTTCCAACTTTTACTTTGCTCTCTACCACTGCTGCTATTAGATAAGTGTTTAAAGGTGAAGTGGAGTTGTCACGAAGCTGCACTTATTTTAGACATGCAAAGTGAACAAAATAATCGCGGAGTAGTTTAGTTTCCAACAATTCCGTAATTTCATTAAAAGCCAGCAGAAAAAGGAATAACTTTTTTGAAATTATCATAAGCTAATCATGATCAGTTTCGGTGCTTTCCATTGCCAAGCACAATTTTTAGTAGCAATTTCGAAGGATATGTAGTTAAATACCTGTCTTCTATTTAATCTCAAAGCTAAAAGCAATGAATGAGTATAAAAATATTCTATGTAGAGGAGAAGTTCAAAGCGACTGATTTAGGATATGTAAAAACCATAAAAATTTAAGTTCCATGCTTAGGAAGGTTGTTTGTTTCAGATGAAGTTGCAATTAAGGATTCATGGAAATGCTAATTGAAGGTTATTTTCGAATCCATGTAGGCGTAGGATTTAAAAACTGTGCAAATAGAAAAATACCACCCATAGGGCTATTGAAATTTAGTAATATTTTATACTTATGTTTTTGCCAAATATTATTAAATTAAGTTTCCTCTTAAGTGTCAACGCTGTTCGCTGGGGGCCCTATTCATGCAATTCCGCCATAATTGCAGTGGCTTTTGACTCAATGCTTCTTCTCTTTGAAAAAGGGCTCTTTCTCGATTTCATTTTTCAATCGCTCAAATAAGGCTATGTAGAATAATTTCTCGTGAAAGTTTTTCCATTTTCAAGCTATTGGCATTAAACTCTTCATATAATCATACATTTTTTGTTGTTTTTTGTAGTGAACTCTCAAAGAACTTTAAATAGAGCTTTTGCGGAAACAAATATTCATAAACGATATATTCAACATAATTTTGTTGACTTTCTTGATGATCTCCAACGTAACAGTATCGGTTGGATATTCACTAGGTACATCACCCTCGATGGTGATGTGAATTAAGCAAACCATATACGAATATTTTCTTAAAATTTATGTTTTTATATCAACAACCAATTGTCCGACAACTGTTGAATTTATACAAGTAACTTTTGGTGGTTAGATCCAACTGCTTGCTAGATTGATTCAATTTTAGTGTCGTCTACTCTTGGAAATTAAACTTCAGTCTATATGGTATATATGGCAAATCATATTCGATACGCTTTCATACAATCTTTTAGCTAGTAGACATGGTCATTGTTATATGTATGTATATTAAGCCAACTGCCACACAAATTAACAACATTTGGAAAATTTCGAAGCAGAAATAGCTATTACGATTTTTCTTCTATATATGTATAATGTAATATCATGTTTATTCTGGTTTTTTAGAGGAATTCAACTATCAAATTTATTCTGACAACATTCTCGCATATTTACTAGTATGGCAACTTAAAGTTATCACCTAGCGCGCAAAACATTAAGCTTAATATTAGCTTTAATCTCTCACGCATCAACCCCATTTGATATTGCAACAAAACTAAATATCCAAGAATAATTTTCATTTTAAGTCCAACAAGAATTCTTCCAATAGTGCCATTTCTGGCCCTCTTTTGTATAAGACACTCGTTCTCGTACTCTTTGGAAAACTACACAAGTAACCCAACTATATTTAACTACATTACTCTAAGTTGCTATGAGCAGATATGTTCACTTATGTATAACATTGAATGACTCATATTATGTCCTTATCTTTACGCTTTGTACAATCACACACACCGATTATTAGTATTTTTATTTTTTCCTACTATGTAATCGAATTTTCATTGTCTACCAACTGGAAATTGTCGCCTTTTGTGTCTGTATAAAATGTGGGTTTCCAGGTTCGCAGTCACATATAGGCAAAACGAGTTGCCAACAAATCCTGCAAAACCTGCTCAATGCGTGTAATAACCAATATGCGCGGAAGTGACACATTGAGACACTGCCCAGTTAACCAGTTAGCGAGATACTGAAAATGAGAGTGTTCGGTACATACGCAAACATATATGTATTTTTGTATTTATGTAAGCACTACGACGGCGGTCGTGTTAACATACCGGTCGTATCTTGCTGGCTGAATATCCTCCAAAGCAACAACTTAAAGTTAATACCCGCAGTTTTTTTTAGTTTAAGCAATAAAAAACCAGAAACAAAAGTATTCAAAAATCTCCTATACAATCAGTAAGAGCCAAATAGTTAAATACTACAATCGGCGTCACTCACTTGGACACAGGAGTAAACGACTGGCTTGCTGACCAACTAAAATTATGGATCAGTGTGTGTATGCACATCGATACATATATAAACTTAAATCTATTTTAATAGCTACACTTATAGGCGCCGACTAGTTTAAGTCGGATATTGACTTGAGAGCTGAAAGTAGAATGCCATAACAACGAGTTGCGTTTATGCGAATAGTTTACATATGATGCCGCATATTAAACTCGCAATTACTGTGGCATTATTTGTCATAACTGGGATTGAAGTTGGTAATTTTTAACTCAAACACCAAATCGTTATATCTAGTCACAGCTAAAGACTTGCAAATTACATTTAATTGCTTAGGAGTTAAAGCGGATTTTCTTTAAAGACTACTTGATATTTTTTTAGTATGCAATAAAGTGTATTCGAAAATACTGAAGCTCCAACTTTATATATTGAGGCGCTTTGTTATTCAGCTCTCTATTCAGCTTTCATTATCTTAAGCTGAATAAGTGCTAAGAGCGCTGAAAGGCCTACAGTTACAAACATTTTTTACACAACAAACATTTTTTAAACTACTTCCCGATTTAGGATTTATATCTTCTGTAATTGGAAATTCTCTTTAAAAAAAAAAAAAAAATTTTTAATTTTTCTATTAAAAAACTAACAAATCTGTAAATGAGTAAATCATCGTCAAAAATATATTCAAGTATTTAATCTATGAGCCCTCAATTTAAGGAGTTATGCTAGTCTAAAGCTCTAAAACAGGTCTAACTTTACCAGTTTATTTTGAGAGTAAACACATAAGTCGAATTTATATCATCCAGTTTTTATTAAAAAGTTATATTTTTGAGTATTTCAAAAAACGAAAAGAAATCATACAAAACGGTAGACACTGGGCCATTGCACGGAATTATCAGTTTTAAGAAAGAGTCGACGATAATCCTAGGAACTAGTATCATAGTAACTAGTAACTTTACAAAATTATTTCGGATTTGTAAAAGAGGTAAACAGTTTAACAGAAAAATTTAGCGGTAAAATGTTTGTTAAAAATTTGCTATATAATAAATAGATATCAAGTGCGATAGTCTCCGAAGACTATTAAATTAGTTGTTTCGTCAATATTTCTCAGATATCAAATACCTAAACATTCTATTATTATTTTTGCAAGTATGCTTCAGTTTGCAGATATTTTAATATAAAATAATTTGTTTTATTAATTACCAAGTCATCGAATGGTATGTTTTTTGATATAAGTGATAGTATATCGAGTTATGTAGTAATGCTTTGGGCCTTTTTTTCTTTACGGATATTTTATTTAAGAGTTTGTTCTGGTTTGTAAAAGTTTTATCGAGTTCCAAACACTTAAATTTTGTTGCCTCGGCAAATTAAACGAATTGAACTAAATATAGTAAAGGTCTGTGAAGTAATTTTGACTTTATTCATCAACTCATTGAATTCACCTACTAAGATACTTTCCTATATAAGTAGATATACAATTTCCGTAAATTTATTAAATAACAGAGAATATTAAAAATAGTAAAAGTACCTTACAACAGCAACAAACACAATTGTCTGCAAGACAATCAACACCAGATGCCTCCACAGCTGTGGCAACAAGCTGAAGTGCCGCCGAAAGTCACCTTCATCAGTCAACAACCAGCACACTTCAAGCAATACAAAAGACTTAAGCGACGAACTCGAGCCAAAGTACGTGCACTTTGGCAAAGTGCATGGCAATTGAAGCAGCAACGACAACTTGTTAAGCATTTGTTGGCATAGCTTATGTTCGCAGTTATATTTCGGCTATTTTTCAATTTTCGCTTGTGGTTGCTGTACGCCGCATTGCTTTGCTGTCTTTATGATTTAGCAGTAATTTGTCGAAGAGCGCAGGCCAACAATTTTTTCAAATAATAGCGTTTATGATTTAATATAATATACTGAGGTACAGAGCTTTACTTGCGAGTTGCATTACAGCAAGCAATTTGCGAATTTCGCATACAATTTTTGGCTGGCTTTATATGGCTGGTGCGCCGTTTGCTAGTCACGGGTTGAGAGCGTTGCGTTTTAATTCATCAAATTTCATGAGCGTCTGCAGATATGGTATCGCAATTATACGCGCTGAATATCACTTGATTATTGTCCGTCGCTACTGTTCAGCTACAGTTATGTAAACGTGTATTAGATGGCCGCTGGGGACGTATTTGTTAAGTATGGAACTGCCGCTTCGTGCGTCAAGTGTTACAACTCGGGGAGCCAAAGTTTCAAAACATTTAAAGAGCTTTAGAACTCTTCAGCAATACAGAGTCTGCTTGGAAGTTGTCAAAAGATACTCCAGGTGTTAAACTGAGATATATTTTTAACATATCAAAAAAATTCATTTAATTTTACTACATTCCACCCCTTGCTTAAAAGATACAAGAAATATAATTGCAAATAATTTTTCTATAAAATATGACCCACATTTTTTTTTGGAGTAAATA